TATTTCAAGGCAAGAACTACTACTGGTTTATGTGAAGGAGTTCCACTTACTCATTTTGTCCAGTAGTATATATATATATATATGCTTTCAAAGAATTTTCGATGTAAATGCGAATGACACGTTTGTTGATTGTGTTATGTTGCTATGAAACGGAAGAACAGAGTGGCATCTGGCAGTAGAATTGTTTGTTTTTTCGGTGAAATAAAAAAGTGTCGGTGAAATACAAGAATATTGCATTGAAATTTCCCTTTACATCTTCTTTTGTCTTTATTTCTTGCTTTCCTATGTAACTTCACACTGATCTTGATTTTTCCTCTTCGCGGTTTAATCCGTATCTTTGCTATTGAAGATTTTTGCAGGAGACAATGCCTACGCATAATACCGACTAATTCTTGTGAGTAGCACACATCATACTCTAAGCTAGATGGTAGTGTCACTGTGTGATTACTGAAATGAAAGTCTACAACTGAGATTTATTATTATTGTCCCATTGGTATCCGAGTGGAATACAGGCCTTCAAAAAGACAATTCCACTTAGTTCTATTTTCTGATTTCCTCCTCAGCTGGGCCCACGATTGCTCATAACCTCTCATCTCTTCCTGCCACGATCACCTCCATGCCATTCTCGGACAATCCACTCAACGTTTCCCATTCGGGTTCCACTCAAGCGATGGCCTGGCGCACGATATCACATGACGGGCTCCTTAGTGTGTCCCCTCTATCCATCTCCATTTTCTCCTACGTATCGGTCCTTGGTTGGTTTGTTCCCAGAGTTTTTTTGTTGCTAATTCTCTCTGGTTGGTCATTTGATCTTCAATAAGGAGCCTACGAAGTCAGCTGTTGATAAAACTTTGCAGTAGCCTGTTTGAAATGCTCTTCGTGATGCCCTGGCCAAGTTTCTGACCTACATAAAAGCACGGACTGATTTCACATTGGTGGTGTTGAAAATCCGAATCTTGTTCCTTATGCTGAGTGCTGAAGATTTCCAAACTGATTTCAGAGTGATGAACGTTTATCTTGTCTTCAGGATTCTGGCTGACTTTGTCATCATCATCCGTTCCGTCTTTAGTTGAAATGATGCTTCCTGACCGGATAAATGAAAGAGGTAACCTCTGCTAAATATCTCCCTTTGTTGGTGATTGATGCTGATTGTTATTGTTGTTGTTGGTTGGTTATTTTCATCACCTCTGTCTTTTTCATGTTCACCTTCAGTTCTGCCTTCGCTACCAGCGTCTTCCACCACCAGTTTGGTGGTTTTCGTCCGTAAGTCTTCGAGTTTATGTGACATTAAACATAAATCATCCACACGTGAAATCCAGATCTTCTAGAGTCTTCTTATCAGTCAGTGCAGCATATTTCTGTCTTCTCACTCCCTACGCACAGTCCTCCGCATAGTCCAGTCCACCAAAATTAGGAATAGAGATAATGAGAATGAATAGTCTTTATCTGTAAAGAGAAAGGAGATCCGGCATAATCAATAAAGTAAACAATAGAAAACCAGTACGAAGTAATTTTAAACAAAAGAAACTAAATTAAATTAAAAGTATGTAGAAATGAATGAATGAATGAAGGGTTGAATAAAAAAAGAGAATATTAGATGTGAACAAGAAGAAGCAGAGAGAGAGAGAGAGAGGAAAACCGGATACAACCAGGTACCATGGTAACTGGATTATAATACACAAAACAATACAATGATAAATATGAAAATTGAATATTGGGATCAGTGTATGCGCCAGTGTGCTTAAAAGCCCGACAACAGGTTTACTTATATGCACAAAAGCCTAAAAATAAACACATCCCAGAATATCTTTCTTAGGAGAATTGAACTAAATTTAAGCACTCTGTAGCAGATAAATATACATCGAAATGACCACATGAAAGCTATAAAAGGAAATTTTCTCGACAGATTACCCACACTAAAATATTAATTATTACTTTCCAAGAGTTGATTTGTAAGGACTTGATCTGTTCTTCGAATTCGGCAGCGGATTGATACCGCAGTTGGAGAGCCACTGAAAAACTCACCAAGGAGTACTGGACAACTGTTTCATCCTAGTTTGTGAATCATCGGCAGTACGCACCCACCCACTATTGGGTTTTGAACCCAGCACCTTCAGGTTACAAGGCAAGTTCATATACCATCAACCACTGGAACCGGACTCAATGGCCAGTCCACGAATTCTAACCTCTACCAATTCGTGATTTTAGCGCGACTGGCACCAGTCAATGTCATCGGCGAGCATTTGTCCTCACTCCCGACAGGATGGACCTCACTGGTCACGACTTCTCACTAGAACTCTCCAGGAAACTCCATCCTGTAGCAAGTCACTAGCGAGCATCAGATTAATCGCTAGTGACTTCCTGGAGTTCTAGTGAGACATCCTGATCAGTGAGGTCCATCCAGTTGGAAGTGAGGATGGATTTCCCACCGATGACATTGGCTGGTGCCAGTCACAATAAAATCACGAGTTGGTAGAAGTTAGAATTCATAGGTTAGCCATTGAGTTGGGTCCCGATGGCTGAATGGTCTACGATCTTGCCTTCTAACCGGAATATCCCTAGTTCAAACCCTGTTGGTGGGTGAGTACTACCTATGAGTCCCAAGCACTAGGACGAAACAGTTGGCTGTCCCGTACTCCCTGTTGGTTTGCAATGGTTCTCTAACTGATATCAAACAGTGGTCAAACTCGAAAAATTAATTATTACACTTTAAAAAATGGACGATAATTTGATAAATTACATGTACAACTTGGCTATTGTTTGTTAATCATCAAATGGACAGGTAAATGAAGCATATAGAGCCCTTGAAAATATACACAGTAATAATCGGGTAAATTCCACATGAACTCCGGAATCCGAAAGGATTGATTGGTGTTTGAACCTGTTTTAGTCACCAGAAACCATGAGAACGTTGCTCCGGACATTGTTCCATCTGCATTTGGATGACACTTTAATCAAAGTCTAAGGAGTTAACGACTTAAGATAACAACCACTTGCTTCGATCTGGGCGTCCGGTTGGTATCCCGGAGCCCTCACATACACACACACCCTATGACATTTTAAGTGGTGCATCTCTTTGGATGACTATAATGTACCGAGTCTGTGTTTTAACAATAATCAGTGAGTAAGATCATTAGACGTAAGCAAAATACCAATCGATGAGTAAAGTAACCGCGAAGTGTAGTAAACAAAAGCATTGAGTTTATGGTTGGGATTCATTAGGAACCAGATAACAGAATTACTATTATTATTGTTTCCTTTAACTCCTAGAGGAACATAGGGCTTCAGCCGCACGTCTCCATGGCGTTCGGTTCTCTACTAACCTTTTCACCTGGCTCCAAGTCTGCCCACATGCTTTCATCTCGTCTCCACATCACCTCCTCCAAGTCACCCTTGCACTGACGACCAACTCGCCGCTTCCCTTTCGGGTTCCACTCGAGCGATAGCCTGACCTGTGATGTCACTTGATGGTTTCCTCAGAGTATGGCCAGCCAATCCATCTCCATTTCTTCCGAAATATTTGTAGCACAATCGGTTCCTGGTTGGTTCGCGCCCAAGGATCTCTGTTGCCGATCTTTTCTGACCGTCTGATCTGATCTTGAGTATTGAGCGAAGACAGCTGTTAATGAAGGTCTGTAGTTTGTTTGAAATGCTCTTTATGATGCACCAAGTCTTTGATCCGTATAGTAGCACTGACTTCACATTGAAGTTGAAAATCTGGATCTAATTTTTGATGCTGAGTGCTGTTGATCTCCACACAGACTTGAGAGTAGTGAAAGCTTGTCTTGCTTTCACAATCCTTGCTTTGATATCGTCGTCAGTTCCGCCTGTAGTTGAAACGATGCTTCCCAGGTAGGTAAAAGAGGTTGTTTCTTTCAGGTTCCTTCCATTTATGCTGATTGTTGTCTATTGCTGTTGCTGTTGGCCAGGAATACTCATCACCTCTGTTTTCTCTATGTTCACCTTTGATGGTTCTTCTGCTAACTAGTTGCTTTTCACTTGCATATCTTCCAAAGATAACGGAATAAACACGTTGAAATACTTTCAAACCAATTTCCTACTAGTAGAATCAGATTCACCTTACAGTGTTACTCAAATGCATTCCACATTTATATTACTAAGCCGCACCAAAGAAGCTGTTTGAACATTGCTCCATCGCCCACTAAGGAAGACTACATTTAAGATGAATTCCCAGGTCCAGCAGGTAGGCGGCTATGAGGATAAACATAAATAATCCCAATGGGTAGTGGTACCATACTGAAAATCGACAGAAGTTGAAAGCGATAGGCGATCAGAAGTCAACCTAGTAACTGATTGCTAAAATGCTAGAAACGGAATCCAAAGGTGGTCTTGAATTTGATTCTTTTGTAGGGTAGTGTATATGTCAACCGCTGAATAGCCCCCGAATCTAGGATGATTATTTCTCAGTGCGATAATATCAATTAGTGACTTGAAAATCCCCATTCAGTCATATAAAAGAAAGGAAGGCGTTCAGCGAAGAGACTCTTTTCGGCGAATTCATTCACTGAGCTGTACAATCGCATATATATACAATTTTGGTTGTGTGTGTGTACATTATATTTATAAAGTTTAGATAATTATGTAATATAAGTATTATTTGGCTTGGAGACAAAAGTTAAGATAGAAAATAAAATAGAATTCATTAAGTGAATTGGATGACGTAATACAGTTGAGTAGAATTCAGAGCAGGTCACGTTGGCAACAATGTTAATGAGTGGTGGTTAAAATTAAACAAAGGAGGGTGTAGAGAATAATACAGTTGGAAATAAGTAAGTTAATCGGATGACGTAACATAGTTGACTAGAAATTGGACGTGACAACATTTAGCTTCACAGAATCACATTACTATGGATAGTTTAGTTTCTCTTATAGGCAAATAAATACCTTAACATGTAGAAATAAAATGAGTAAATCTATCAGTACATGATAACAAAAGGCAATATATATATACTGATTTTTTACAGAATTTTCCAACTTACTTGAAAGTTTCCATTTCAGCTAGTTTCTCTTTTAATCCATGATTTCGTTTAAAGCTAGACGTTGAATGTATACTAGGACTGTGTGTTGAATTAAGCGATAATAATGAGCTATGCCGATGAATTGTTTTCTCTGATCCATAGCCTGATTCAGCGATACGATGCCGTTCAATAGCCGATATCCAGTTGTAGCGTTCTTCTTGACTTAATCCACGTAGATACCAGATAACATCACCAACACGTACCTAAGTGGATATTGATACAAAGCATAAAATACAACAACTCAGATATTTCAAAAGTCAATAATAATAATGATAACAATAATTATTTACTATAATTTGGTTTGTAAGGGTTAGTTTTGTTTTTACGAGTTGATCACGGATTGATATCAGTTGGAGAACCATTGAAAACCAGCCACAGGGAGTACTGGACAGCTGTTTCATCCTAGTTCTTTCGGGAATCATCGGCAGTATGCATCCACTACCAGAGTTCGAACCCAGGACCTTCCAGTTATAAGGCAAGCTAGCTCGTACACCATTCAGCCACTGGTAGCCGATTCAATGGCTCGTGAATTTTAACTTCTACCAATGGTATACGAGCTTGCCTTGTAACCGGAAGTTCCTGGGTTCGAACCCCAGTGGGTGCGTACTGCCGATGATTCCCAAACTAGGATGAAACAGTTGTCCAGTACTCCTTAGTGAGTTTTTCAATGGCTCTCCAACTGATATCAATCCATAATCAACTCATAAAAATAATTATTTAATTCATAATCTCAATAATTTGATGTTTTTTATCAATTGTCATACTGGATGGACAAAATATTGACTATAAACTTCGAAACAATGTTTCAATTAATAGAGACCAATGGTAACTTTTGACCATTGATATATGAATAGAAGTTGAGCAGTGTGATAGAGTATAATTTCATTATGGATAAAATTTTATTTTGATAAGTCTCACAATGTTATACAGTAAGTGCAGTAATAATACCACGTCTTGAGCACAATCTATTGTCACTCATAATCATATCAAGGCACTACTCACACAACTTTCTAACTTCATTTATATAATTCCATCATTATTTGTCATCGCTCAACTTGATTGGTAGTAGTACTTTCCACATTTCCTGTATGCGGGATGAGTCATTCCTAATGCACGTTTCGGGTGTAGACTTGATGAACCAGGCAGGATTCAGTAATCAATCTCTCTCTCCACCTACTTATATTACTTTTTAGAATTTTAACCCCCTGACCGAAAGCTGTTACCTTGACGTGGTGATCGGGCTTGAACACCGCAATGACCCAACAAGGTATACTGGCTGTGACTTATGTCACTGCCTACCATGCCAGAAATGTTGTTTGGATAGCGGTTAGACAAAAAGCATCTACCCAATCCAATGCTATGACTCAAACAAAATCACAAAATATCATGGCGGATCGGTCGGGGCCCGGATTAACAACGACCGCGCTTCCTGCTGCCGTGTCACAGGGCAGAAGTGATAAATATGATACTGAGACACCACACCAAATAAAAAAGAACAAACAAAAATAGGCTGCGTGTGACCGGCCTCAAGCAGTTGTCCCCTGGGCTCTGCGGTCATGCAACCAACTTCCACGGTGTGGGCAGCCGGGAAGTAACAATCACCCTCACAATCCGAACCCACACACCCTAATGCATGCAGTGCTACAGTTGAGTTTTTCCTAAACTACTTATCTTCGTGGGTGGGGTCAATTATTCTAACCTTACCTACTTTCTTATGTTCTGATAATCTAACTACTCCTCATCTACTAGTTTGACCTATCTGGTTGACCACACTCACAGTCATTGCAAGGTATTTCGGAAATTATATTACCGTCTTTAGTTGAGTAAACCTACAGGGTCCTTCAGCCTACAGAGCTTGTCCTACCTGAGGTTTTAATACCCCCGAATTCCTCCCTTATTAAGAATTCTAAGTAGGGTCTCAGATGTCCCTCAAGTATATGGTAAAACTGTACATGGCTTATATCCTTCCTTATTTATGTTATCACTATTAGTTTCGCCATTATTTTTATTTTGCTTTCGACCTTTCCTTATCTTCCTAATGAATTTTATCGGAGAGTTATTTAACACCAACGCTTCTTTTCCTGTATGTTTCATTTCATTGTTCAGGTTTTCTGATGTACAGCATAGTTTTATTGCTTGGTTTATTCGACACTTAGCTAAGCCTGCCTTCACAGATAATGGATGGGATGAATTAAAGGAGTCTAAATATCTATTAGCAGAATGCGTTGTCTTTTTATAAACTCTAGCGCATAGCTTACCTTCTTCCGTTCGCTTTATTTTACAATCCAACATCTTAGCTAATTCTCCTTGTTCATTTACCCCTTACTATTAAGTTTATGTCTGTGAAAAAAAACGAAGTCGGGAAGTTGTGTGAGTAGTACCTTGATGTGATTATGAGTGACAATAGATTGTGCTTGAAACGTCTTCATCAGTCAATATTACTTACTATTTAACACCGTGAGACTTTATCAAAATAAATTTTCACCATAATGGAACTTTTGACTGTGCCTAAACCTGTTAGTCTTAAATTCTTACAAGGCTTGGGCACGTAGACTCCTTGTTAATTGAACTAATTGAAGCATACTAAATATTTTACCATATAGTTGAAATCTTGTCTCCAGCTGGTGAATTATACATGCGATGTTTGATACAACAAACTGTCTGTGTGTAGAGATGTCTATTAGGAAAGGAATTATATATATATATATATATATATATATCCTGAATAATTTTATATTCACTTCATAACACTTTCTGGGATCTCACCATCCTAGTTTATAATGTGGATCTTATTCGAGAGCGTAGTAATCATGCTGCGAGGTGCATTCTCTGAGTACCGCTAACGTAAATGATCCATTTAAGATGGTGGGAATGCAAAGAATTTACCCCCTTTTTTACTGGTCAGTGGTCATGCTGATTATGGTGCTGACTGTGGTCACGATGGGGTAAAGAGTTGACGGGTTATACAACACTCCGGTGCAATGACATATCCTATTGGATGGACAGAGATTTTGTCCAAGCAGTGAAATCGATACGTGGTCGTCTGTCAGTAATGACACTACAACAGATCTAAGCCTAATTCTGGTTTGAACAATCCAATGTTATACGAATTTATTACTTATTCATTTCAACATTATTACACTTTCAGGATAGTTAAATCGTGTCTAATACTTGCTCTATTGTGAGACACTACAGTTGTCTTGACTTCATTTTACACCACACAGACAGTGAGATATAGTGCTGAAGAGCTTCAAATACAATATAATATCAAAGATCATAAAATGAGTAGAGCAAAATAGTGAAAATCAATCAAAATTTAAGAGGTGAGAGAAGAAACACAGTAAGCGAGGTTGATTTATTTTCAAGCAAAATCGAAGCGCAGTCTACCACTAATGGGCTGGGCATCAATATCTGATTAGAAACAAAACAAAAACCTTCATATGCGATCATCTGAAGAATATAATAGTAATAATATATATGAGACTCTTCAACAGTACGCACCCACCACCAGGGTCCGAACTCAGGACCTTCTGGTTAAAAGGCGAGCTCGTAGACCATTAAGCAACCACTGGGACTCGATCCAATGACTAGTTCACGAATTCCAACTTCTGCCAACGTTTGAATATTAATCTGACGCTCACTAGCAACTGGCGCTGGGTCCTAGTGGGAAGTCGTGACCAGTGGAGTACAACAGGTCGGGTGTGGTATTGGTTAGTCGGTCGTTTGGTTTTCGACATAGAACTTTGCACATATGTGCGACAGTTCAAGTCGCCACACTCCATGTAGCACACAAGGAAAAAGAAGAAAGTAGCAGAAATGCATAATACAGACAGTAAACAGAGGTGTGAGACAAAGGAATAGTAATAACCGAGAACAAAACAGTTTCATTGGAAATCATAAATCACAAGGAGTGGATGCATCTGCGCCACTGAGAACGATTTTGAGCCATATCACCAATTGTTTCCAACCATTGGTTTTTACTGTCCCGAAGACCCCAACCAGGAAGCCAGTCTACACCTTCCTACGTGGCTTAGACTAACTGTTGTGGATTTCATTGACTGGTGCCATGTTTTCGTTTGACCGCCGCTAGCTCTTTTCCAGCCTGACCCTATATCAGCTAACATTGCCCATCGTCGAGGAAGGCGATGACTAGGCATACGTAGCACATGTCCTAACCGTCTCAGTCGATGTAATTTCACAGTCTCGTCGACTGATTTCCCCGCCCTACCTAGCACTCGACGCCTAACCTCAATATTGCTCACCTTATTATACCACTTCACGCGGGAGATAGAACGCAGACACCTATGATCGAAAACGGCTAATCTTCTCATGTCTTCCGCTCTCAATGGCCAGGTCTCACAGCCATAAAGAAGGACGGAGCGGACTGGTTGGTTAGTGGTTGGTCTATACTGTGAATATTATCCTAAAGCTTGAGAAATAACCTCACAAAAACTTGTATTACACATGTCTATTGTTCTTCTACCCGTGACGTGCTATGTTAACCCACATAACATTAGATTGATTGAAATCTAGGGGCAACTAGACTAAAACATATGGCACCAGCAATGAATGAAGTCAGTGTGACTAGTAGTTTAAGCCGAGTAGGGGAACGTAGGTTGTATGACAGAAAAAAAATGCAACTATTAGAATCTATGGTTACAAACTGTAGGTGATATAGCTGGAAACCGATGTGTCAGTAGGGGATATGTATATTTTCCTGCCTTACATTCTTCTTAATTGTAATATTGATTTTCTTTGTTCAATCCATTCCTCCCCTTACTTACTATCACGACTAGATTATTTCCCTTTCCTACTTTCTAATTATTATGTCTATATGAAGTATCTTAAGCTGGCATAATAAGAAGAAATACAAAGTGACTGACCGACTGGTTTCCATATAGAACTTTGCAAAGATGTGTAGCAGTTGGAGTTGCCACACTCCCTCCTCTTAATACATAAAGCAAAAGAACAGAGTAAAGAGAGATTCAAAAGAGAGATAGACAGATAATAAACGGAGATACGAAGCAAAAAGAATACTAGTAATATGGAAGAACAATAGGATTTTATTGGATTTGACAAATCACTCACAAAGAGAGAATGCACCTGCGGTATTCATCTAGAACGAGGATTTTGAGCCATATCACCAATTGTCTCTAACGTTCATTGGTTCTCAACATCCCGAGAACCCCAAACACGCTGGCAGTCTACACCTCTGTGAGTGACTGGCTGGCTGGCTGGCTTAAACTAAATGTTGTGGATTTCATTGACTGATGAAGCCATGTTTTGGTTTGACCACCACTAACAGCTCTTTTCCAAACTGATCCATCCTATGTCAGCGGCTGGCATCGCCCGTCGTCAAGGAAGGCAATGGCTAGGCATCGATGCCTAACACATGTCCTAACCATCTTCCTCAATCGATGTAACTTCACAGCCTCGTCGATTGATTTCCCCGCCTTAACTCAATGTTAATCACCCTACTATATTATCTAACACAGGAGATAGAGGACACACACCTATAATCAAAGACGGCTAGTCAGCCTTTTCATGTCCTCTACTCTCAATGTCCATGTCTCACGGGCAGCCATAGAGGGGGAAAGAGCGAAATGCTGCTGAGCAGTACACAATTACTTTGATCGATAGCAAACCAGCCGGATATCACGTCTACTAAGTGAGAGATGGCGTAAATTGGCATATGCCAGACGAGCCTTCTGTATCCGTGCTAAGATTTTGTCAGCGATCAACCTGCTGGGGAGGCTGACGCAACTTCCCACAAAATAAGTGAAGTGGTCATCACGCTCAGTCACCACTTTACTCTTGTCTATCTTTATGCTAGGAGTGAGTCGATATAGTTCAGTCCTGTAACATCATCTTACATTTGACAGGAGTGAATCACATGCTAAACATTCGCAGATTGCTGCTCCTCAAGGTGATCAGAAGACAATGAATTTTGTCAGCGTCTATACACAGACCTATACTGATTTTATTTCACTTAGCATATTTATGAACAATGCTTGACAGAAATATAATGAATGAAAATTTCTTTCTAAACTTTGACAATAATAAGTTTTTTATAACTATCCAGTTACTTATAGACATGAAGTTATTATAAAGCTATTTCAATTCATCCCATATTACTTAAGCTTTTCTTCACAAGAACGCTATATGATAAACCGAAATTAGTGAAACCAGGCATACAACATAAGGAATATAGAAACAGTAAATGGAAGACAGCCTACAGAAAGAAAGTAAGCATACCTATGAAAACCATTCAAAGGATGGTTCATTGCTTAGTGGTAATTTCAGAAAGAGAGGAAAGAAGGAAACTGCAGCGTGCTCATTACAGTGATTACGTTTTTTGGTGATATCCAATGACTTCTTGAGATTCACTGGTTCGAATCACCGCTTGCACCTCACACAGGGAGTTATAGAGCATTAACAAATGTTAATCTAACACAGCTATCCTTCATCCCACAGTGCTGTATCACAGACTGACCACCTACTCCCAGGGATATAAAATAGCGAATGGGATGTGCACTGCAGAGGTAACATTCGTAGCACATAATACATGAAACTATTCATATTTAGGCATTCAAAAATTGAAATTACATAATCGCAACTTTTAATGTGATTAAACATGTTCCATCCTGTTTTCTACTACGATAGGGCTAGAAATCTTTTTGAAATGCTTCCACTTACTAATATGCCGATAACATCTGCTACATAATTCTTTTTGACAGTCTCTGAGTGTTTTCACAAAAGTAAAAGAATAAACGCGCATATTCAGCATTTATCCTTGGATTAGCAGGTATGAAGGCTCACCTGGAAGAATTCTGAAATCCTGGTCCTAAATCATATGATACATATGACCTTAAAGAAGTGAATAGAGTCACTTTTGTGTTCAGCAACCACTGAAATGCATTTTCTGATTCATATTCAATGGTTTCTGAGTTAAACTTTAAGTTGAAGAACTAATGAGCTTTCACATTTAGGCATCCGAGTTATATCTCACTAAAAGAGTGAATGACAATCACGATGGCGATTCGAAAGCTCTCTCATTGAATCCTTTGGCTTATTAGCTCCCTCGTTCTCATAAAAAGCTGTTTTATTCACACGGAGTGTTGTCTTACTTTCATTTCTTGATATGCGTGATATCGACAGTTCGCGCTCAGAATTATTAATACGAGCAAAACACTTGCATTCCAGTAACACTCAGAATTCAACGGTTAGTAACAAATAAGGTTTGGACACTAATGAATAATAAAAAAAAAATACAATAAAAGATCAACAGTTACCTCAAAACGACATTCATCATACTCATGAGTCTTTACATATGCATTTTTGATACGGACAGAGCCCCTAGAGCCCAAATCTAGATCTTCCGCATTGCGATAATACGTTAAAAACCCATCAGACAGAATAAAGTAGCGCTCTTGCCAACCATGTAACAAATTTGTCCACTTGCTAAGATAACCACGGACAGCCAATGGTGCCCATAATTCACCATCTGACGAACCACCACCACCACCACCGACACCACCACCGCCATCATCGTCATCCGAAATAGTACTAATATTTTCTTGGCTTGGCGTCGGACATGAACCAGAAGTCTGTGTGATAAGTGTAGTAGGAAGTGAAGAAGAAGTTGAACTTGGACCACATGTGGGCGTTACAGTAATTTGATGCATCAAGTTTGAAAATGGTTAGATAGTTAAAACCTGAGAATATGAGAAAGTGTTATATGAAATGATCAATAAATGCACTGATCTACAATTAGAAATAAAAACAAGTCAATTTTTAAAAATTGTACATAAGAAGTTCAACAGATAATTCATAGGATCAGAGTAGTAAGTTGGAGTAACCAGCTAATTGACTGATAGAACTGAGCTAATATTAGCTCACTAGTATTTGGCCAAATGCAAACTTGTGTCACGACAAGATATCAATCTTATCTGTTAATTAAGCAGTACAAAGAATAGTTCATAAAGATATTAAACTGCACTACCATTTCCTAAATCGTTAACGTCTGAATATCTCAAAAGTCTTGTACATTCGAACTCATGCTGATTTCTTTTTCTGAGTGATGTTTCGTTTGTTATTATTTTCTTTTTATATAATGGGAAACACAAAAGCGCATTCATTGTTCATTATCCAGTGAACTTAAATTTAAACACAACTGGAAAATTTTACATTCTAGTGAAATGAAAACTAGTTTCAGCATACAGGAGACAATCTATGCAGGATAGTATTAGTGTCATAAAAATATAAACGTAACAGATAAAAAAACATAAATAATAAGAAAAAGAAGTCCGCAGAGTTTTGAATAATTAATTATCTGATTACTGTTTGGTTGGATGGATTTTTACAGAAGTAGTCAACAACTCTACGTTATGAAATTTAGTCAAGTTCCTACTCAGGGAACTAAAACGTCTTAACAGACGCTAATTCAACACGGCTGCTTTACGTGTTACAGAAACACATTGCAAAGTGACTTTGTTTTAAACTTCTTACAGGCAAGTAGCGCTGAGGTCAGTATATGAAATAAAAATCTCAGAAATTCACGAACACTGGAAATCAGTGTTACTTTATGGTGCTGTCAAGATCTGAGCTGTTACATAGATAGCAGTAATGCATCTAAGAAAATAAACCTTTTAGCTCAAGACCACTACGCTTAAGAAGTGTAAAGCGCAGCTTTCTGTATTAGAATGTTGTACGTTATGCCTTTTACGACCAAACGCAAATCAGCTGTGAGCCTTACAAAGTAATGAATGTAATTAAAGTATGCATTACTATGAGGAAGAGAAATCAACAATGAAAAGGTAAGGACATGAAAGATTAATCCAATTCCTAACCAGAGAATAGAAAGTAATCATACTTACTTTACTTTACTTCGGCTATCTCCTACGGGAGGATGAGCCGGCTTCATGAACATCTCGAATCATTGCTGCCCAGGAGCGGCGATCTGATGCAACGTTTTGCGACAGGGTTATCCAATTAAGAGAGTTCATGAAGTTTCAAGGGAATTTGGTACGAGTGATGTCCCCAGAATCGCTCGGCCTTTTGTTTGAGAGTGCAGCTCTAGCCTTTACACAACCAAGTGTGACCTACAAGGCAGTAGGAGTGGAGTAGGGAGTCCACTATCCATTGGCAGCCGGTGACCGGAGTTCGGTTCATACGGCTTTTTGAATGGGGCCAGACATCCAGGACATCCAACAAGCCCTTTGTCCATACGTCTGCCGGTGAGCTCCAGTGAGCTTCATACGCCAGTTGTTGGAGGTTTGGAATCAGGATTTAGCCATCTCCCCTAGACTGTCATCCAGTGGACAGTCAACCCGGTGAAGAGCGCCGGGCATCCGCTTTCGCCCTCTCACTTTGGTGAAAAACACCTCCGCCACGTGAAGGCAGTGAGTAGGACTTCCTCAGGAGAGGCTATGTAAGAAGCCTGGTCATATGGGAGCATTTCGAGAGGTGTGCGGAAGGGTGGCCAACCCGCAGCGCAAGGCACCCACCCCCGACCATCCTGAGGCTTTGGAGATACAATGATTGCCTGACTATGATAGATGTGAAGCCGTTCCAACGACTGACAAAGGATAAACAGGTGGCCGATGCATCCACAATCTGAACATAACCCAGCCTGCTCTTCGCGAACTGATGTCCCAAGCATTTTATCAAGCCTGAAGGGCACAAAGGCAGCCAATATTTTAGATGTGACTTGTAACGGACTAGTGTCTTGATAATTGCCACACACACAGTGATTGTCTCATCAAGCACTAGTGGTACATCTTTTTAATTCCCAAGCTTTCCTAAACAATCTAGTCAGTCTCCTAACGAAAGTTTCACCATCATCTATAGAAAGACGGGCTAAGTCGTCCGGGTTGCGTACCTCTTAGTGCCTGAGTACTTGGAGGGTGTTAGGTATCTCCACTTTGGTAGGTGGATTGATTTTAACCCAACATAGAGCTGCATAATTAGGAATATTGAACACACAGACCATTAAAACTGTCTTTCAGTGCCATGCCCAACATTCCAGAAGTCTCTGTAGACTACTGATTACCACTCCACCTACCGTACAGACCATCTCGCTGACAATTGTGGATGGCTAGTATCGGCTGGATAAGCTTCCAGCTACTGTCAGGCGATTCCGCTCATCTCACCTCATACGAATGTTCTGACAAACAGGCTTTGTCATCTTTTGTTTTCGTAAGTATTAGAAATGTCATCGCACTAGTTGTATGTCAGAATAGTAGATATTCTTTAGAAGACCAACAATTAATCTTGAGCTTAACACAGTTTTATATTTGGTTGCAGTAGAAAGTGAGAACAATGTGTTAACAAACTTGTTTAGAACATTTATGATCATTAAATAGTAAGAGAAAAATGGCACACAGTAAATATAATCGAAACTGAAATAAGTATTCCAGAAGGAGCACACACCCTAAGTCAAAATGTCAGCGGAGGATCACGAAATTCCTCCAATATGTTTGGGCCATATCGAAAATGTCGCAACTACCCGATTTCAGTGCTAAGTGGAAACAGATTTCTGGTATTCCTTAAGCCTTTCTGGAAAACATACGACATATATCACCCTCCCATTAAACTAAACTACATTATACCAAAGCATGGGTTCTCCTTACTCCATAGAGTAGGTGGAGTAAGGTGATCTGACCACCCAGTTACGACATACCATCCTGAGAAGTCAGGAGGACCTGTAGCCAACATACCTGGTAGCTATGTGGCCTATTTGAGTACAGGCTCAGGTGACAGAAGAAAAACAACAAGAAACAAAAGAAATAGTTGCAGCTGGAATCACTGAGTGTTACAACTGGGATGTCATTTGTTTAGAACTGCAGTAGGTGATCCTCATTACTAAGCCTGAAACTATCCAGGTCTTACCACATAAACGAGTCCTCTAAGTCCAGGTGCCTAACGCTGAGGGTGAACATAGACAATAGCAACTGGGGCGAATAAAGTACCAGATGAACTCTAACAGATGATGAATATAGCTACACGTCAGAAACATATTCAACAAGTAGGAAATTACTTACATTAAAGTTTTAACAGTATAAAATTTCCCTAACTTTCAACAAGTATTGCGAGGAAAGTAAAACTGACCTCTGGACTTAATCATGCTAGATTTTATTGGTCTTTATAGCATTTACCATCTCAAGTGAAAATAGATTATTTTCCTTATTTTGTACTTGAATGCGTTTAACTTGAAATATTCAAATATTTACATTTCTCAGTCTCAAACGTAATTTGAATAAGTCTAACGTTACACCTGTCAATTTGCTCATACATTTCTTGCACCTGTACCCTTAGTCGTGTACAATTTTTCATAAATTCGTTCCGACCAATATTACCCAAGCTAATAACAATTCTAAACTTATTCTAACCTATTCGTCGATAATGCCTTATTATGCCTTATTCAAACCTTTTCTCTCCCTCTAGAATACATTTACGGGGTCACCAGAAGAAGGTGCTCAAACCAAGGTCGAATAAAATACGTTTGGAGTTTAGATTCTCTCACAGAGTGGTCAACGACTGGAACTCCTTACCTGATTCAGTAGTAACAGCTCTAACGGTGAACGCTTTCAAAGAGAAACTGGATCTCTGCAGAGATATATATCGCGAGGATTAACATAGGCAACAAGAGCCTTCTATCCTTATAATCTGAATCTGAATCTATTATGGTGCAATATATTGCACTTCGATAGCTCCACTTATTATCAAAAAAATTAACAGACTTACTGGAAACATAACCGGCTCTACTCTGCATAACTACAATTTTACGCCTATTAAAACATGATAGCTTTACAGCTTTGTAAAACAAAACCTCTCAAATGTCGAATTTAAATTCGGTAACAACTGTTACTGAAATGACTAATTTTCCGCACTACAGATCATCTAGGCAAACTTTGGGTACACTGAAGATCTTTGAAGCATAATTTGGGTGCAGTGTGCAATTGTTTTTTAAATTAAGGAGAATTTCGTCCCACTTTCTTCAGTGAACTCGAAGTTTGCTAGCTGAGTATTCTGCAACCTCAGTAAGTCTTTTGATTCGGCTACTTCATTATTTTATTAACCATCAGCAAATAAATATAAACAGAACCATGGATACTGACATAAATCTGGCTGAAAATTCCAGAAGAAATAACTTACCTCAATAAAAGAACAGTAACCTGAAAACTTAACGTAGCGTTAGCATGTCAAATCGCGCACTTTCAAAGCACAAACATTGTTCAGTGGAACAATTGAACTGAGAATACTTAGGTATTTATATGGCTGGCACTGCAATATGAATCAATTCACTAACAGATCCAGAATCTTAGAGATTGAATGAGATTGGTCTTCACATAAGTTCGCCATCAACAGTGGCTCTTTTGGTATGGGAGATAAGGGGATATTTCTCTAGGACTTTCCCCTAGACGCTAAGTTGTCGTTGGTCACGATACATCGTGATTATGCTCTCTGATCCCTATATGAGAAAATACCAATTCTCTCACTCATTTTTCCATCCAGATTTCGGTTGTCTGACATGTAAAATAATTATGGTAATAAAGGTTGCTTATGTAATTAAATAGAATGGAAACTCAACCTTTTCTTCCGTAAACTACCCAAAATATCAATTCGTCGTTTCACTGTCTATGGAGGTAAAAATAACATATTGGTCGGATTTTTAGTAGTTGGT